GTAGAAGGTATTCCAGATACGCTCGCTCAGGCTCATCCTGCCCGTGAAAGGGTAAGCCATATCGGGGTTCAACAGAGGATCGTCCGGGTTCCCTGAAAGTTGAACGACAAACGTGCGATGAAACGAACGATCGAGGAAAAACAGGGTGCGTCTTCGAAGGGCCAGGTGCTGCGACTTTGTCCCCTTATTTCTCATCCGACGCGAAATCGGTACAGGTTAAAGCACTACCGAGCGATCCATTCTTTTCTGCGAAGCCTGGCCCCGCCCGATTGCTCTCGCACTTTCTACTTTATCTGCGATTTACGTCAATTTCCGGTTCGGCTAACGACATTTCAGCCGAGCAGAGGGCGAAAGACGGCGAAAGACTGCGAAAGACTGCGAGGAACCGAGCACGGCTGAGACCCACGAAAGGTAGCTCTCGAGTTTGCCTGTGCACGCGATTGTTTCTATTTCGATGTACGCTTTCGGGGGTGCGTCGTCACGCATACCTACCGACAGAGTCCATGACGTACGGCAGGTTGCCAACGCTCAAGAATCCGATTAGAACAGGCGAATTGTAATGCTTCACGAGGGCGTAATAGCACTGGTACCATAGCTGTTCTATAATCACGGCGTCGAAGCTCTTGTTCCTCCTGGAAAAGGAATACCCGCGCGGCGATTTCGAGATTAGCTTTAACCGATGAAGTCGTAACGCGATGAAATGACGGTAATTTCTTTTCGCCAGCTGCGTTTTTTCGCCTGACTTTTCGCCCGGCGAACGGCAAAGCCGAGTAATGCCCGCGCGATGCCGGCAATTTTCTACGGCTCACGGCTGAAAATTTCGCCCGTCCACTTTTCTTCGACTATTCCCAGCTTTAACGAGTTTACGAAATGAACTTGTTTTTATTCCACCGGTCGTGCCGGCGTGCGCACAGTCTTAAATAGAATGAATATTTGTATTACGAAATTAGGTGGCCGATGGCGGGGCTGAACAGTTGCTCCTCGCACAGCTCGTTCGCCTCTTGCATGTTCCTCCGCAGCAGGGTGAACGCTCCCATGTGCCTGCGAGAGATCGATAACGTAACGGATCCAGCGCTCGAAGATTCCGAGTGCAACGCACCTTAAGGGAACACGTACCTTAGACCCGTGCAGTCTTTCTTCTTATAGGAAAACGACAAATCGACGTCCTCGTAGTTCTTGATCGGCCTCTGAAACATCGTGCTCGTGAATTCCGTTCATCCACCGTGCATGGGTAACCCTCGTTCGCGTATTTATCGCGAATTACGGTCGCCACGCTCCTCCCCGATACGCATAGTCGTCCTCGTCCTCGAATTCTCGATTTCTCGCAGCAGCAGGACAGAGGAGAGTATAGGAAGAAAAATTAGGGGGAAGAGAAAAGGGGGAGACGGAGTATGTCGGAGTATCGAGTCACAAAGAGATGCGTTTAACAAGAAGAAATGTTAGTAAGGGTAAATTGAAGTCGAACGAAGTTTGCGTAACTTTGAACCGGAGTTTATGGAGAGGGTAAGAGAGAGGGACACGAAAGGGATGGCTGGGCGAGAGAAAGGTGGAAGTGGAGCGAGACAGGAGGAGAAAGAGAAGTAAAAACGAAGGGGTGGACGAGGGTGGGTGGAGGGCACGAGAGGTACGCGTGGCCGAAGTGGAGCACAGAGTCAAACACCTATCCGGGATATCTTTTCCAACTTTTCCCTACGGTCTACACGATATTATTGAATTATTAAACCGTCGTTATAACCTTGTTAGAAGTGTTTTCGCGCCTTTTTACTAACTTTCTCAACGCTGATAAATGACGGAAGTTCTAACGCGATTGTATTGCGTATAAATCGTCATACTTTACCGGTAATGGTTAAAACTGTTTGTAACTCGATAAAATTTCCCCGTTCACCGTAGTCGGGAGCAAGGAAGGAAATAAAGTTCGAGGAGAGAGATCGAACTGCGACGATTCTCGGGGAAATCGGGAAAAGTCGGGAAAAATCGAGAAAAATCGTGGAGCACGTTGGCGAAAGAGCGACGGAGAGATGATTGAAAAATCGGAGAGCATGGGAGGGAAGAAAGCGAAGAGACGAGAAAGGGAGAAGAGAAGAGAAAGCGGAAAAATCGCACTTACCTTTGACGGAATGGTTGATATCACGGTGACGTTGTGTCCACGAGCCGCCAAAGCTTTCATCAATGCTTGAAAGGGTTGCTGGTGGCTGTAGCTCGCGCTGGGACAAATTCCGAGAATGTTGAACCCAATGGCGGGCGAGAATTGACGAAAGAGTAAAAGCAGCAACAGCAGAGACAACATCTTGCGCGCACCGTTGAAGCAACGCGTTTCGAGAGATACTCGAGCCACGAGAAATAGTCTTTCAATTTTTTAAACGAGAATCGAGGTTGCTGGTGTTACGCCCTTTGTAGGAATTTCTAAAGGGATCCTGGCAGACAAGCACGCCGGGCGGGAGAAGAGGCTGGAGAACGATCTACCAGTGAAAAATTCACAACATGTTTCACGATCAGTTTCCTCGGGGCCACGATAAATAAGTGAACCGCTTGTACATCGGTCGCGTGTTTCTCGCACGGCTTGCCGGAGAAATAATGCAGAGCCGCGTCCGTCTAGTGACAGATATTTTTATACATCGCGAGCAACATAAAGGCGTCATTCAGAAGCCGTGAAGCATTTCATTGAGACTATTCCCTTATCTCCTTAACGCGCCGTAGCAAGCGATTCTTCGAAGGCCGTCGTACATCACGCTCCTCTATACCTACTGGTACATACAGTCTGCCAAAAGTAGTCTCCTCTAATAACCGCTTTCAAACTTCACGCTTTGACTGCCACGCACTTTCTCTACAGGGTGGGTCAGCACATATTGCCACATAATGTTTTCGATGAAGTTGAATGGTTTTGAGAGAGGCATATTCCAATGGTACTAGTTTCTTCGTAGATGGACGTGTAAAGGACATACGAAGGTCATTAATATTTTTTTGAATAGAATCGTATATTTTTTATTACATCAGCTAATGCTCCTTCATGTTCTCTACAAAAAAGTATTAACCCATTTGTGTTAAAAAATCATTAGTTTAGGAGATATTTTAATTTTACTGTCCATTTACAGAGAAGGTTCAATATGGCGACCATTTGTAGCACAACATTTTTTGAATCGATAAATTAACGATTCGCTAACATTGCGTAGTGTATCTGATGTTATTTTGTTGCACTCAATGACGATACGATCCCTCATATTGTAGTCGGAGGCTCAATGTACATTTTATTCTGCAAGTAGCCTCACAAGAAAATGTTGGGGGGCGTTAGATCCGGTTTCCATTCGAAATATTTTTCGCTATGCGTAATAGTAACGACGTATATCTAGATGGCAATATGTGGTGACCTATTTTGTGTAGTACGTTTAGTGGCCACGATAAAATTTTCATTATTCTTGGAATATAATGGCAAATTATCGAACAATATGGCAAAAATAAATAATGAAAATCATTATGACTGCCGGACTGCGGACGTCCATTGATTTCAAAGCTGTTAGAGCTTAGAAAATTTTCTCCAAACGCAATCCAACTGTTCTAAAGTGTCCTGCTATCTTTTAAGATAAGAGAGAAATTCTGTTCAATTTGTTAAATTAATTCAAGCCAGAGCGTTTGCTACTCTCTCTGTAACACAGGAAAGCACGGGTTAGGTCTTTGAACTGTCTTCCGTTCAAAGTTCTCTATTTATTTACGGTCTCCGAATGTTCAAAAATTGGTTAGAATGAAACGAATATAAATTTAAAAAAATTAGCGACCACCATGGTCCCATTGAGGAGACACGCGCCGGTCACTGATGACCGCCATCACGGTCAACGCGTTTACGTAATATCTCTTGGACGAGATAGAATTGACACTCGGTTTTTTCTTCCACGCGAAGTTTTCCGATGGAATTCGCGAAAGCTTATCTTTCGGATAACCCGTGCTCCCAAATGGATGACGCAATCAGCAGGGGAGTGATCGTTGGTAAAAAAAAAATGGACATCCGGAGGATCGTTGGCGTCGGATGGGTTTGAAATTTACGTATAAATTATGAGTCGGTCGGGAAAGCAATAATAAGAAAAGGAAAAAGAGGACGGGAGGTAAAAGCGTCGGCTCGAGACGAATCACCGAGAGTCGCGCCATTAGCTTCGATGTACGCTTCTGCCTCGCCGTCAAGAGAATGGCTCGGTTCAGCGTACGGAATGATGCGGTCGCCGGGGCCGAAGAAAAATTGGTTCGCCGTCTCTAAAGAAAAGTTTCAACCGAGAAAAATGTCATCCGCTCTCGCGAAAATTATGCCACTTTTTCTCGCTCGCCGATTTCGTTCGCCTAACGATATCGCCGCGGTATAAATACCTAACGACCATCTCGATACTCGCGTTCCCCGCGTTCCATCGACCGGTTACATCGCGCGCAGCTTTCCCCTCGTAGCTCTGGAAAAATGCATAGACAAAGAGGGAGGGGAAAAAAGGGAAAGAAAGAAAGAGAAGAGTAGAGAAAGGAGGACGGAACGAAAGAATTGAGCCACTGGTCCGCGAGCGTGTCGCGTAATCGTTAATTAAAAACTTAAAACGGTTACGTCATTACGCGTTGCGCAGATAAACGTTTCAGGAGGAAAACAAAAGATTTTTGCATGGCTGACGTAACTACGAGCTTAAAAGCACCGCGTTACTTAGAGTCGTAATAATACCCGGATACGAGAAGAGCCTCGTTAATTCGAGATATTGTGCGGACCGTTGCACCGTAAAGGTGCATCGTTTGTGTTGTCTGAAAAAAGTCGCGAGGACCGTCCCCTTAATCGGTGCCCCTTTTACCGCTGACCATCCCCGAGAGAAAGGGTCGTGCTTACCGTTAACTGCCAGACATTTGCAACATCTCGAAAGCTTCTTGTTAACCCTACTGACAAAATACTTCTCCGAACCATCGTTTCTTCCGCTCCAACCTCCTCGCGCGCCCTCTCCCGGAGACGCTCGCGAGTGTCGACGAGTTAGACATTCCGGGGCACGTAATAAGCCGGGTTACGACTTTAAAGAGCCCGGTCGACGACGCGGCAAAGCGGAAAATTCGAATCGTGTGTCAGAATCAGACGCGTCTGATAAGGGTTGAAAGCGGTTGCTGACGGTTAAGGGAGCTCATCTCGAAACTCGACAACAGGTCAGGGAACGGGGCGGGTAGATAGGGGGCCAGGTCTAATAAAGGACGCCGGTGAGCTCTTCCGCGTCGGAATCCGTATTTCGACAAATTCTCCCGCCTATCGGGGTGTTCCTTGGGGTGTGTTTCACGGGGGGGGGGGCATAGCGGCGGGTTATCGCGACGTGTTCGCGCGAGGTATCGCGATCACGGGAACGATTTATTTTTCGGGAAAGCCGGATGCGGGCTGCGCCGTCGGAGGGTTGTTTCGGGGGTATCATCGACGACGCCGATATTAATTTATTCCGCCTCGTAACTAGGAATAACTAACGCGACGGGGTGGAAATTCGGTCTGGACACGAGGGATCGATGGAGTTTCGAACCCTTGGAATATCTGTCGCCCGTAGTTTAAATTACTCTCCGAATAATCAAACGTATTCCGGAGTATGAATGTACGAAAGGATGGGACTGGAAGCGGGAGAGACAGGGAGAGCGAGAGAGAAGGGTGTAAGAGGAAACACGACGGGCGGGAGTGGGACCGGACGAGGGCAAGATAACTCGTGTGCCCCCTCTTGTCAAGCCGCAACAGGAGCCACGGTTTAATACAATGCCGCTGAGAATGGTGGTAAGAGAGAAATAGAGGCTTAACGCGGAGAAAGAGGGACCGGAAGGGAACGGGCTTTGAGACGGAGAGCGAAAGGGAGAGAGAGGGGGAGAGTAGGACAGAGAGAGTTCAACCCCGACAGCAAAATGCTGCGTGTGTCACTAAGTAAGCGTCTAGATTTGCTCGTCCTTCTCTACCTTCTAGAAAAGCCAGTAGACTGGCAGAGGATGTGTCAGCTTCAGCTGTGTATGTTTTGCGAGATCCCTCCCCGGTTTCTCTCGTCTCTTTTCGTTACGTTCTACACTCCCCTGTATCTCTTATCCCGTCTCTCTCTCTCTCTCTCTCTCTCCCTCCCTGCAGAAGGTGTCTACCGTCTCTTTGTCCCTTGTACTCAGTTTCTACCGTGCAATTGTACGGCACCCACTTGCGGATCTCCCGCTGTAATCCTCCTCTCTGCTTTCTCTCTTGTCCGTGTCTGTCCTTTCTCGTCGTCTCTTCCAGGCGACTTGCAGTGCAGGACCAAGCGGGAAGGACGGGCGCACAGCGAGGGGTACCGAGAGATAGAGAGGGTTTTTGCCCCGACGCTTATGCAACCGAAATTTAGGATATCCGTGGCTAACTTCGGCAACCACGACGAACCTCGAAGAAACTCGCTACTCACGCGCTCGGCTTGTCAGGAATTTCGTTGGACCTTTCTTGCACCGTTCTCTCCCGTTACTTGTTATCCCCGGTAAGCTGATCGCGGAAGATTAGCGTCGCGCGGATGTCGCGATCGTATTTTCGCGATGTTTTTCCGCATCGTGCGAGTATTTGTCGTTTCCGGATCTCGAAGAAAACGTCGATGTCCTTTTCGCATCTCCTACTATGGAAAACTCGTCGGGGCCCCTAGGCTCCCTCTGGCCCCCGAGCTCGTCGAGGTGCGTAGAAGGCTCGGATCCCCGGGCTGCTTTCGAAATCCGACACGTTCGAAATCTTTCGAAGATGTTTGCACGAGGATCCTCTCATCGGGATGTCGGCTAGATTCTCATCGATGTACGTCCATTAACTCGCGGAGGGCCTCGTCGAGCCGTGTAAACCGTCGTTTCGCTCATTAACGAGTGTGCTCGGTGGCGCGAATCATTCCATTCACCCCGACAAACAGCGGCAGCGTGCACGTGCACGAGGGGTGGTGAATGCCGATGCAGGGCATCGTTCGGTGTACGTCTATGCAACAGGAACTTAAGTACCCGTGATTAGAGTTCCCGCGGGAGCGTGGAAGGGGCTTAAGGCGTCCGCAGCCACGCGATTATATATGCCCAAGTACATATTTCCCACGCGTATGGTTTCTTTACGAACTGCTAGATGAGTTTACGGGGCGACTAATGAAATTATTTCTGGTCACCGAGCGCCATAATCGTGTCAGGAGAACTTTCCACGTTTCTGTGCCGCGACAAGGGCCATCCGGCTTGGAACGTTTTCGCATGGCTCTTTGCGCTTCTCCCGCGGCTCCCGACCTACCGAAAGATAAATATTTGCGAGCCCTCCATTACGCTTTATGGAATATTTTTTTCCCCTCCCCCACTCGCTCCGCTGCTTTCTTCTTCTCCGTCTCTCTCGCCGCCTTTCCCGCCGCTTTTCTCGCCGTCTTTCGCGCCGTCTTTCTCGCTCGCGCGCCGCGTAAGCGTGCGCGAGCCGTATAATCATCGCAATTTTCTCCGGCCGCTTGGCAAATTTTGCCGGGCCCATTGCGAGGAAGCCACCCGTCCGTACTCGCCTCCGTGCTTTTCCCTTTTTTAAATCCCCCTCTTCCTCCTTTTTCCCGCGTTCGCGGCCATCCCCCCGCCCCTTCCGGCCGAGGAT